CCAAGATGATGTAGGGTAGAACCCTAGACGCCCGATCTTTCATGTTTGGAGGGAATCCTACCAAGAACACGAGGGGGAAACGAGGGGAAAACAAGGGCAAACACAAGAGAAAACACAAGAGAAAACACTCAACCAACGAGAATAAGGTCACACATATGCTAGATCCTCGAAACTCAAAGTGATACAAGATCTGAATCCAACAAAGGACGATACAAGTGGCGGTAGTTCATTTCCGTGAGGAGGTCTTGAGGGTCATCCCATGAATGGGGTCTTGAATCCAAGATGGATCTTCTCCGAAGAGGTCGCGGTCTCTCACGAGGAGTATATCCGTGTGGATGAGCAAACCTCTATCTCAAATGAGCTAAACCTATGCTAACCCTCTCTAGGAGGAGGAGGAGGTACATGGGCCTGGGGCCCGAAGCTGCGCACACACAGGCGTCGGTCGTCCGACAGGTACCGGACGTCCGGTCGTCCGGTGCTTGTCGGACGCCCGACGTTTTGGCTCTGGACAGGTGGCGTCGGTCGTCCGGGCGCTGTAGGTTGCCTCGGCTGGAGTCGAATGAACGTGGGATGCTCCGCATCGCACTCATCCCTATGAACGCACATACGCACACCCTATCCCTATGAGCACCTCCGAGAGACTGAGCCGGCATATCATCTTGAGACTTTACAAAGTCACCGTAGGCGCCTCGTAGTCGACGGAAACGTCTCCTCCCACTGAAAGTGTATCGCCGGAAATTCTGAAATAAATCCAGGATAAATGCGAGCACCAGGATTTGAACCCTGGTGGGCTGGGGATACCACTATCCACCTAACCATTCCAACCACGGGTTGGTTCGCGTTGTCTCGGTTGGTTGCTTTGTATACAAAGCGGGAGGAAACCCTTTTTGGCAAAAGAGGCTGTCAGAATTTACAACTGCCGCATGCTCACTAGTAGATAAATTCATCTTGAAATGACTACACCAAGATTTCTTAGCACACTATCCCTCAAATAAGAATACGACTTTTCTTTCTACGATGGAAATAAGAATATGACTTAGGCTAAGTGCACCTATGCCAACCCAGGATATTCGGAGGTACCACATGTCTTTGTCCGAGGATGTATGAACGCTAATTTTCTTCCATTTGCAGGTCCAAAAGACGGAAAATGATGCCACATTGTCCCTCTCGAACATTTTATTAACAGGGACTGGTTTTATTGAGTCCAACCAAGGGTCAAAGGATATTAAATAGAGCTCCAGCTTCTCACATAAAAATTGCAGTCATTCTAGGCTTGCTGATGCATGATTGCATGGTTTTAATCACTAAAATGAACCCGTGCGAACAGCTGAAATAGTGTAGTAATCTACCAGCACCACCTCTAGAGAATCGCCATTCACTTTTAAAACTAAGTCTCGCCATCGACGGACGCATATGTATATCTCACTTCAGCAGCCGCGTGGAAATTTTTATAGCCGTCTCCGGCCGGCCGGATCGATGCCGGTAGCCGAGGAGGGAAGGAGGCAGCGCGGCGTGCAGGAGCCGCACTGATCCTGGTGTCTGCCCGGGGTGGGACTACCGTACAAGGCGCCGGTTCCGTACGGGGTTGTGGCCGCGTGGGTATGGCAGGAGTGTGGCTGTTGTCGATGGGGCCAGTGGGCAGCCTCTCACACACCTTTTAGAGCATCTACCGTCGGACGCCTCAACCCCTATGTGGATGGGCGGACAGCCGGTCACTGACCGGTAAAAACTCAATCAGATGGATTTCTCGTATCGTCCTATATGCGGGGTTGTCCGCACCCTTGTATCCAACAAAAATTTGGGGCAGATATGAAGAGGCCCGGACGTGTTCGTCACATCGGACTGATTGCAAGGACACACGTGGAAACAGTCGAAAACCCATAGTCCGATGGACGTCGTCTCCTATTCTCGATGCAGCCGAATGGTGCTGCTTCGGAGCAGCACCCGAGGGCCCTAGTCTGGTTATTTAAGCCGGACCCCAGCACCCAAACCCTATATTGTCCCCATTTCCCTCCTCTACCCTCCGTCACCGCCACATTCCAATATGTGTCGAGGCACCAAATCACTACGCACACCAAGCTCACACCGGAGCGGCGGCTCGATCTCCTTGAGAAACCCCGGGCTGGGCGTGAAGCCCGTACCGCACCCGGCCTAACCAGACTAACCGGAGCCGGAGGAGGAGGAGCAGGGCGCGACCATGGCGGACGCGGAGGCGGAGGAGGACGGAAGTGAGGCGGATCTGGCGCCTCCGACTGCGGGCTTCGACATGCCCGAGGCACTGGCGTAGTTCGAGGTGGCCCAAGAGGAGCAGGCGGCAGAGCAGCATGCCATCATCGATCCATCTAGCCGGAGGGGGGTGGACGCCAACCGCCTCCTCCTTCAGTAGGCAGACAGAGAGCCCGACGAGATCTTCGCCAAGTTGTTCGATGATGAGGAAAAAGGGGTGTGGAAGGCGGCCATCCACCAGGAGGCAGGGCCATCCGACATTGCCGGCACGAAGATCGTTGTCATCTCCGACGACGAGCAATGTAGGCTAGCTTAGGTAATCTACGTATTACATAGATTTTATTCTGCATGCTTTGTATGAATTTGAGGTATCAAATATGAACTAACTGGATGCAATGGAGAAAAAAATGAGGGATGACTGGTAACTGCCTGCGAAAGCGATCGGACGTGCCTGCGGACATATAGAGGGGTGGAATTGCCAAATCCACTTGTAGATGCTCTAAGGGCATTTCCTACGCTGACCCAAAATCGGACACGGTATCCATTCACTGGCCGGCCCGGACTAGTCAGTCAAGCCATCTAACCGTGTGTGTGCATACATTTGAAAGCAGATTTTAACGATCTAGAAAAGTTTCAACAAACACGATGAATTTAGCAAAGTTTAGACATAATTTACATAAAAGAATGATATTTCGTCCATTTAACTAAGAAAACTAGTACGCTAACTTGTAGCGAACGATGACCTCGTACGTGTGGCCGCTCTGGCCGGCCGCACTGCCATCACCGTCCGTGCCGTTGTCAGAGTAATCCTTCCAGCGGCAGAAGGGTGCAGGGCCGTGACAGTCTTGCCCGACCATCATCCGCGCTCGCGGAGGAGCTGCTCCGCTTCCTCTTGCGCTATGTAGAGGGATGCCGTGCCAATGTTGACCCCGACCGTGGATCCCTATAGACAATCTTGCCCATGTCAGCATTAGCAGAGGTGTCGCTTAACGACCATCCGTTGCTATTCTTAGCGAGCTCCCTATCCATGCGGCCGCGACGCCGCGTTGCCATCTCTAAGATGGTGACCGACCGGTCGAGGGCCCAGTTCACCGCCAGGTTGGGGTCTTTGTGGACCCAGGCCTGCACCTCATCCGACTTATTGAACTCGGAGCGACGCGACACGTTGCGCCGCTCCTGCCGTGAAGCCTTGTCCACGGCCGACACGATGACCCGCGACGAAGAGGAGCCGCCAAGGCCGTCGAGGTACTGGTTCGCGCTAGTTGCGGTGCGGCGACAACGCAGGCCCGTCTCTGGGCGTAGTGGCTGTGCGGCGGCGACGCCGACTCCTCCTTCACATGACACTCGATTTGGATGACGTAGTTGCATTGGGGGCACCACGACTCCACCTAAATGTGGTGGACAGGCGACGTCGCCTTCTACTTGATGTGATGGCGCAGGGGGGTCGGATCCTCCTTACTGAGGGCCTGCGGTGGCGAGGGCGGCTCAGACCATTTTCTCGGAGCGACCACTCCGTCAGTAGCTCACCTACCTTGACGGTTAGCGGTGGACGAGGGTGAATCTCATGTATGACCAATTGTGTCCAATTATCTGATTTCTTTTAAACTGCTTACAAATCTCCACCGTGTTGAAAAATGGAGATGTGAATCTCATGTACGAGTAATTTTATCCAATTATCCGGTATCTTTTTAACTGCTTACAATTCTCCATCGTGTTGGGAAATGAAGATGAACCAGACACTCATCGTGTTTGCCGGGGGAGCATAGCATTTAGCAGGGCTTCATCATCATCGGTCAGGCAAACAAAGGGGCCGCTCTCCAACCATTTCCTTTTCTTCTCCGAAGTCAAGAGTCAGATTTGCCTTGTCAAGGACAAGAAAACAAAACCCCAGTAAATTTACCACTACCATTTTCTTGTTCGGTTTGCGCCAAGATCGTCCATTCGTCCTTTTTAATCAGCCGTCCCCTTTCCGGTCACAGAGAAGATAAAAATAAGAAGAAAAGACACCCCCGTTCTCGACATAGTTTCTCCCCCCTGATCTTCTACATCTATACTTTTCCGCGAGCCGTCGTTTTCGGCCATGGGATTGAACAACATTTGGGTCCAAACCAAACATGCTTTCTTGGAAAATCGGGCTGCCTTTTCAGAAATGAATAAAAAAGCAGGGACCGGCCTGCGCATTTTCTAATGTGTTTACAGTTCCTTTTAGAGACGAAGAGGAGCCACGCCATGATCCCGGTCTGATTTATCTGCACCGAATAATTGTGGATTAGTATATTGGCATGGGGTGAGGCTAATTTGACCGTGTCATGATGGAATTGTAGTCTCACCCGACTAGCCAACGACAGTATCTAGGATCCTGTCACCCCTAGTACGTACGTAGCCTTAGTAAATCTCATCTCGTGTGCGGTTAAAAACAGCGAGTTTATCTCTGGCTTTCCATTGATCTAATCTACTCCGATCTAAACTAAACCCATGCTTAGCATTGGGGTAGCCTCATCATCCCCACCCCCCTCCTCCCTCCTCCTTGGCTGCTTCCCATCTCTCTCTCTATCTGCCCACACACACCATGTGTGCCCACATTTCCCTAAATAGGCCGCTCGCTCCCGCGCCGGTCCTCTCCTCCTCCCCCTCCCCCTTCCCCTGCCCCTCCTCACTCCCTATCCACTCCTCCTAGCAGCGCCAGCGCGCCGGCGAGCCAGCAGCTGCCTCCCGGGCGGCGCGGAGCGGGAGCTTGCCGCACTGGTTACGGAGCGGAGCGAGCCGGAGCTAGGATGATGGGCGCCAGGGCCAACGCCAGCGCCAACGCGGCCGACTGCGGGGAGTACGCGGAGCTCGACCCCACCGGCCGGTACGGAAGGGTACGGCACCACCACCCCCACCACCAACAACAACCTCCCCTCCTCCTGCGGCCGTTTCTCGATTCGTTTCCCTGCCATGCCAGATCGCTGATCCGTTTGCTCCATGCTTCTTGCAGTACAACGACGTCCTCGGCAAGGGCGCGTCCAAGACCGTGTAAGATCCGCCGTCCTCTGCTCGCTCGCTCGCTCGCTCGCTCGCTCGCTGCTTGCTGTCGGTTCTTTCTTAGCCCGCCGTCGCGCCGGCCGAGCTGACTGCTGACGACGGGCGGCTGGTTTGGTTTCAGGTACCGGGCGTTCGACGAGTACCAGGGGATGGAGGTGGCGTGGAATCAGGTGAAGCTGTACGACTTCCTGCAGTGCCCCGATGACCTGGAGCGCCTCTACTGCGAGATCCACCTCCTCAAGACGCTCAAGCACAAGAACATCATGAAGTTCTACACCTCCTGGGTCGACGTCTCTGCCCGCCACATCAACTTCATCACCGAGATGTTCACCTCCGGCACCCTCCGCCAGTAATCTCATCTAGCCCTCTTTAATGCTCAATAAAGTTGTATCCTTGTACGCTCAATCTAAAGAAAATCTCCTTTCTTTCTGCCCAATTCTAGAAAAGAAGTACCGTATCTTCTCTTCTGTATGCCTAATTGATTGCTTGTGATTTGCTGGTGTGGTGGTGATTAGGTACAGGCAGAAGCACAGGAAGGTGAACATATGGGCGGTCAAGGACTGGTGCCGGCAGATCCTCAGCGGCCTGCTGTACCTACACAGCCACAATCCACCCATCATCCACCGGGACCTCAAGTGCGACAACATCTTCGTCAATGGTAACCAGGGCGAGGTCAAGATCGGCGACCTCGGCCTTGCCGCCATCCTCCGCAAGTCCCACGCTGTTCACTGCGTAGGTAAGCTTCAGCCGATTAGCTACCTAGCATGGAAAAATGGTTTTACAATCCCAAATGGTGATGGTTCTGTGGAAATTTGATGAGGTGGACGTGTCGGATTGTTTGGGTAGGTACGCCTGAGTTCATGGCGCCGGAGGTGTACGCCGAAGAATACAACGAGCTGGTGGACATATACTCCTTCGGGATGTGCGTGCTTGAGATGGTCACCTTTGAGTACCCGTATAGCGAATGCTCGCACCCGGTGCAGATCTACAAGAGAGTGATCTCTGTAAGAAGTACCTCTTGGTTCTCTTTAGCCATTTGCAGCTCTTGTGATTCTGGTGTGTGGCTAGTTGGAAATTGTTTTACTGATGTCATCTAGTGGTTTGGTTGGTAGGGTACTAAGCCTGAAGCTTTGTACAAGGTGAAAGATCCAATGGTGAGGCAATTTGTTGAGAAATGTCTGACCACTGCTTCCGAGAGGCTCACGGCAAGAGAGCTGCTCAATGACCCTTTCCTGCGCATTGATGGCATGGCTCTATGTTCTGGGGATGGGGATTACACCCTGTTGAACAATTACCTTCGGCAGCCCTACCTAAGGCATGCTTACAGTAATGGGTCCGTGATGAGCAATGGGTTCTCAGAAAGCATTGACGAAGGTGCACCGACGGAGTTTGAAGATGACGACACTAAAGCTGATGGCATTGATCTGTTCAACGGCCACGAAGATGAGCCTCTTGGCACTGTGGACATCGCAATCAAAGGGAGAAAAAGTGAGGATGGAGGAATCTTCCTCAGACTACGAATTACAGATGATGATGGTAACACGCAATTTATGATGCCTAAACTCTTTGGTTGAATTCAGTGTGTGAAAATGTTAATTCAGATATTTTGTGAAAACTAATTTCTCATATTTGCAGGCCGGGTACGCAACATCTATTTTCCGTTCGATGTTGAGGCTGATACTGCATTAAGTGTGGCAACTGAGATGATAGGCGAGCTGGACATAACTGACCATGAGGTTACTCGTATCGCTGAGATGATCGATGGCGAGCTTAGTGCATTGGTGCCAGATTGGATGGCCGGTCCAGGCATAGAGGAAGCTCCTGACGCTGCATACTGCCATAACTGTGGATCCAATGTGTCATCATGTGGTTCGCTTTTTGACTACATGTCGTCGAATTCTCGTGGTTGCCGATGTGCAGAACTGCATGGGAGGTTTGAAGAGATCACATTCCAAGCTGCCGATGAAGAGCAATCTGGTTTGCATGACTCAGGGGGCAGCTCTGATGATGGAAGCGCTCAAAAAGAGCAACATGTCAAAGACAAGGAACCCATACGCCTGAATGGGTTCCCAAAGATGGGTAGAAGAGGTCTTTCTGATCGGCTTTGCTTCAGTTCTTTCCAGGAGCGGTCGTGCCCAACCGAGAATTATGAGAGCGACGCCGATCATCAGTCGAAGGGGTTCGACATAAAGCATGAAGTGAAGATGGCCAAGTACAAAGCGCGGAAAATGGCACACCTGAAGAGAGCTATTCATCCATCTCTGGACTTCGACAACACCACCAATGGAGCAAGCAGGACGAAGCCTACACTGAGCAAGCTGGAGTCTTTCCATGTTGGCAAGCACCACAATTTCCGTGTACCGACCTGCCAGCGAAGCCCCGGCACAGCAAGTAGCCCTGGCACAGCAAGCACCGATCAGCATTCAGGCATGAGTAACCAAGTGTGTCCGAGCCCAGGAGCCCAAAGGGCCCTGCGCACCGAGAGCAGCCCGGACTGTATGTTCACAGCCAGAAACTATTATACTGGAGCTCAGTTGCCACCAAACCTCCCAAGAACAAAATCTGTACCCCTAAGCGCCATGGACGCCTGAGATGTTTCGCCATGTAAATTCTGCAGGGAACTGTACATTCCTTTCGTTCTTTATGTATGCGATATGAAAGATAGTCTGTAGGCATGAGGCTGTAATGTGGCTGCGGATTATGCCCGAGCTGTAAACTCTCTTCTGCCTTGTGGTAGACTTGAGATTGAAACGTGGCTGCGGATTATGCCTGAGCTGTAAACTCTCTTCTGCCTTGTGAATCTAGAGGATACCATTCTAGGCTGTTGAGTGTATGCTCCTTCCCTGATTGTCTGTGTGCGTCGTATGATGCTGCAGAGGCTGGGGTTATCCTCTTTTCCAAAAAAAAAAAATGCTGCTTCCCTGATAAAGTCTGAGTTTGGTAGCAGGGTCGCTTTGATGCTTGATCTCATTGATATTGCCTTTGAAAGAGCTATGATCTGTCGCTGTACGAAGGATATTTTGCCCATATCTTGATAATAGATGCCAATGTCCTTGCTGTTAGTTAATTATGCAGAAAGCAAAGTGCCTAAGCTATGAATCAGATCGCCAAGATTAGGAGCTGGAAGAGAAGAGCTCAGTCCTATACTAATACAGCCTAGTACCACATTGACACCTACTCCCTCCGTTCGGAATTACTTGTCGCAGAAATGGATGTATCTAGACGTATTTTAGTTCTAGATACATTCATTTTCGAGACAAGTAATTCCGAACAGAGGGAGTATAAAATAGATACCCCACACCCCATCTTGCCCTGGTTGCAGTAGAATAAACAGTGTAATCAATCAAAGCTGTATCAAAGGTGCCGACATGGTGCCTGATGATCCAGTTGCCAGATGCCAGCTCGACGGGCAAGGCGGAGCAGGACAAGGGTAGGTCCATCTCCATCACTCCACCGGTGCAGAGACTTATGGAGAAGACCTGTGCAGATCTCATTTGGGGGCTCCAGGACCAGGGGATCTCTCTTTCATGTGGGCTCCGTCTGAGCTAGACAATTTTATGGTCTTGAAAAGCGGTGGTTAAAACACGAGCCCTGCTAAAGTGGCTCACAACAACTCTGTAAAGGCAGGATGATGCTTGAATCCTAGTAGTACATTTATTCAGATAGGCATCCCTTTTCCAGAAGAAAATTCAGATAGGCATTATTATCATGCACGCACCGAGGTTGGAGATGAAAAGCAGCAGTAAAGTACGGTAGCCTTTGATTCGCGTTTAATAATCGAGATCAGGGCCCCGAAGCCCATTGATTAGGAGATAATTATCAAGTTGGGTCTCTACTGCTTGCTGTGCTGCCCGACTGAAAGACCTCCTAGCAGTAAACCGGAGCAAACTTCCAACATGAACATGCTAGTTGATCTGGGAAGTGTTGAAAATATGAGCAAATTACTACTAGATTTAATCCGAATCAACAGAAGATAAATCATGACTACAGTAGCAGAGATTGAACTAATCATGCGAACTAGCATAGTAGATGAACAGATCACATCTAGGGCACATAGTAAAACATGAATTCTACCACGATCTCGTACAGGAAAGATAGAATCACATACGGTGCAGCGGGAGCAGCACCGCCGGCGTTGACGTTGTCGCTCATGTCGTCGAGGATGAGGTTGCCGAGGTCGTGGAAGAAGTCGTCGTTCGTGAAGTCGTCGCTGCCAGCAATCGCGCGAGTGCGCTCCCCAAAAACCTGATCGCCCCTCTCCCGTACAGGATCACGAGAGGCGGGGTTCCAGAGGCCTGCTGTCCCTTCTCCCGGTGCACGCCGAAAGGAGGGATGGAGAAGACTTGCTCGGCGGCGCAATGGTCTGGAACGGTGGTGAGAAACCATACGAAAAACGGCGGCGGCTAGGGTAGATGTCTGCCTAACTATATAGTGCGGGTCAGGTAGGTCGTGGGAGTAAACCCCACGTCCGTGTCGTCACGATCCAAAAAACCCGGAAACGGCATCCGTTAATTATTAATGGACGCCGATAGCTGCCACACGTGTGGCAGTTAGGTGGGTCGGCCCGCACGTCCTGTTCGGTGCGGGGACTAATCCGCCCGCACGACGGCGTCCGGGCGCACGAGCCACGACCCGCACGTCCGGTGTGTGGCACGAACGCCCACACGTCCGGGCGACCCATCCCGCTGCCCGCACAACCCGAACGCGTGCTCGATGCCGCGACCTACCAACGAACCCTATCGCATCAGATCTACATCGTCTCCTACCTCCCGATCCCATCGCGTGCCTTCTCTGGTTGCCATGGCAACCATACTATATCTGTAGCGGCACCCATCCCCCTCCATCCTACCCCAACCCCTTGACA